ACAGGAATTTGCAGGTGCTTTGCATGCATTTGCTCAGAAAGGGCTGTGTGCGTGTGGCTCTCAAGATGCTCTACATGCTAACAGGTGAATGGGAGACTGTTGACTTGCTTTGCAGGATGTTTTGCACACATCTGCTGGTGGTGGTGGTGGTGAGAGGGGCCGAGAGGAGTTGCACACATCTTGGTTGGGGGGGTTAGGGGTGGGTTAGCTGCGCTCCATGCTTCAGATGCAAGGGGAAGAGGGTATGGAAGGGGCTTTACATGAAAGTGATTGTCAAGTTGGTTGCAAGATGGCTTAGATACATAGGAGTCGTGAGTATCAAGGGAGGCTTGCAACGTGGTCTGCAGAGGGAGTGGGCAGTGTAGGGGGTTGTAGCAAAAATATGCTTAGAACAGGGGAATAGGGGCACAGTTTGTATGCATTCGGGGGAAGGAGGGGTAGTGTTGAAGTGGTTGTCGTCTGTTTGTGCATGCTGTCGGGAAGGAGAGAGAGTGGAGAAGTGGAAGGAGGACGAGTGCTGGGGAGGGGGGTTCACATGATGCTGTGCATGTGAGGGTCGGAAACCGGGAGTATTGACTGGATCAGATGATGCAGTAGGCAACTGTGTTTGTTGCACGGCGTTGCAAGATACTGTGCATGCGACGAGCATATCGGAGGGGAAAGGGGTGGGAATGGGGAGAAGGTTTCCTGCAGAGCTGATATGGATTATAAGAAGGGTTGACAAGGTGCTTCCAGTGTAGGGGATGGGAGAGGGAGTGTCGAGGTGTGATGCAAGATGCTTTGCATGGTGTTCTTTCCAAATGAAGAGTTACAATTTCATTTCGTCCGTACAGACAACAATGGGCTGGTACGGGTAAGGAAGAGTTGTGGGTGATTTTGAAAGTCAAGGTAGGGTAGTAAGGGATTTATCCTCCATGTGCATTGTTGGCAGAAAGCGAGAAAAGGGAGAAAGGGTATTGTTGGCATAAAGGGAGAAAAGGAAGTGAAAAAGAGCCGGGGGGGGGGGGGGGGGGGGGGGGGCGTGACAGTGTTTTGGACCCTCTGTCACCAGGAGGCTGAACTCCAGAGTCCCCCACTGATGTATATATATTGTATAGGGTTGTGCGCAACCTTCTCTGCTTTATGGAATGTATGTACAGAGAGAGAGAGAGAGAGAGAGAGAGAGAGAGAGAGAGAGAGAGAGGCTGTCGAGGTTCAGCCTCCTGATGAGTCGGTGAAAGTCTGACGAAACAGTCTGCCACAGCTGCCTTTTTGCATCCCCTTCTTTGTGAGATGCTGTGGCATGCTGGCACCTCCCACAATCGGCGGCCCACACTGGGCACGCCCTTCGCTGTCTGACCCTCTTTGAGGCCTACAAGCGGCTGACAAGGCGTTGGCCTTTGTCAGGCCCCTGGGCATGTTACTTCTCAGGCAGGCGTGGGGATATTTTACTTGTTCTGAGTTCATTTCTGTTTCGCCGTTTTATTTTGATTGCCATATATTTTGTTGGTGCCAGTGCGGTTTTGTCCTGTGCCAGTTATGTTGCCCTGGTCTACAATTGTCTGTCCAAACAGGCACAGAATCGTCATTTGTACCTCGGGCAGACAGTTTCACACTTGGCCAGTTTTGTCTGCACCTGGGTTCGTCCTCTAGTACCCGGGCCAACCATTGGGTCCAGGCCCAGCTGGTGATGCAATGTGTGGACCTGGACATGAGTTAGAGGCCAGGCTGCAGTTTCTGACCCTGGATGTCACATGCCTATCAGCAGTTATGCATGGCGCAGAACCAAGTGAGCAGAACCAACAATGCAATTCATCAAGGGTGTGAATATCAAGCACTTCAACTCATACGCCTTAAAACTCGGACCATATGCTCATTATCATCATTCGGAGTGGCTGGGAAGTAACCATACATGGGCGGGGCTTCCCTCCTTGCTCAGCACTCACATGGGAGGAAATCCACGGATGATGAGGGAAACAGGGGTAACCAAAGTGTAAGAAAAATAAGTCTCAAAGTCGAACTGGTCGACATAGGCCATCCAGCGCACAATGGTGGTGGAAAGTGTCTTGCATCCTATAGAGCCGTGTGTATTATTGTTGATGAACTTCCGGCACCTGAGCAGCAAGTAATGCCAATGCTTAAGGACTGTGACAATGCCAAGAGTGTCTTACTCACGTCATTAATTGAATGCACTGGGGGAACCTTTCGGCTGAAGTATGCAATGGGATGTTAGTCCTGTCCCTCGTGCAACTCAAGCACCGTGCCCATACTGTGACCTGATAAGTTCGTAGTGACTTGTCTGGCCAAGGTGGAGTCGTAGATGCTCAACACCTAGGCAGCGAGCATCACTGATTTAAACCACCACTACACAGTTCAGGCAAATCTTGCGGCGGTTAAACTATATCATACAAGTCCCAGATGAACAGTGCGACCAGACCAAAATGGCTTGCACCACCAGCCCAAAAAAGTGAAGAATCGTATCTTCGCCAGTTCGTTTTTTTTCAGCACGCAGTGCTTGGGAGGCTTGCAAGAAACAGCCTTGGACAAAGTGGTGGCTTACGTGTCTGAAAGTTGATCATACTTCGTTTCCGAAATTGAAGGTCTGGTCCTTGCAAGGCTTGCATTGCAATTCCGTCAAGAGTATGGGGCACTCATGGATAAAGTGCTTTTAATCTCCTGCCAGTCCAATAAATGAGCTTACTTCTGTGACATTGACAGGTTCAGGCCAATCTTGCACGGCTTGAATTTTGTCTGCAAGCAGGCAAATGATTTTGAGCTAGGCGTAGTGGCCCAAGCACTCTGTCAGTTCTTGACGCTCAAATTCACACTTCTCGTGATTTGCCCTGTAGTTGGCCTGGCGAGGCCTGTCTCATATGTAGTGAAGGTGCTCCAAATGCCGGTCAAACTTCCGGCTGTAGAAGTGAAGATCATCGACATGGACAAGGACAAATATGTCTAGCGTCATGCACAACACGGTCGTCATTGCTGCATGGAAAGTTGACGAGGCATTGGTAAGTCTGAATGGTATTACAGTTCAGCCGAAATGTTGTTGTTGTTGTTGTTGTTGTGTGTGTGTGTGTGTGTGTGTGTGNCGTCGAGTCCTCGAAAATAAGTGGCGAATTAACCGGTTCTCTTGCCGACGGTGTACAAGTAGCGCATACGCTATCTACGTGCACGTGGCTATGCTGGTCCAATGGTGGCACCAACTGGGCAGCATAATCCTCGTATGTGTCACGAGAATCAGCGACTAACGCATGCTCCCCGGCAGTGATATTGGTTGTTAGCAAGGCAACCGGTTCCGGCGGAGTGTGGAGAGGCGCCGCCCCTCTCCGTGCGCAACTCAGTTTCCCAAGTTAGCTGGACGGGGTACCTTTAAAACAATACCCATACCATTGTCGAAGTCCGAATACTTCCTTGGTGATGCTGTATGCCGTCCATGGTTGCTGCCCAATCTCCATCTCTGTCATCCCTTGTGTCGCCTTGTTCTTCCGAACCCTTATTGGACGTTTCGGCGGGAGCGCTGCGACATCTCCTCCATCGCTCGAGGGGCTGCTGCAGCGTGGAGATCAGGTGATCCGTCAGCTATCACCACATTGTTATGCGCCGGCCTTTGGTAGCCTTGCTTAGCCACATATTGCGGCTGGGACTGCCTTTCGTTGGCGGCTTTGTCATCCATTTGGATGACCAAGTTAGCACGGTCAAGGATGCCCTGGAATGAGGCATAGTAGTACTCGTTGCCGAGTGCCGACCGCAGTCCTGAGCACATTGCGAAAAGAGTTGGGATCGCTGGTTTGGGAAACTTAAGTCGAAACCCGGAGTGGTTACTATCTTCTGTGTTGACATGTTCCCTTGCGAGCTGGAGTAGACGCCGTTCGTCGCCTCCTTAACTACATTTCGGACCATGAATCGAGTGTGCCACATTTGCTCGAGATGCTCCCACGTGATGTGGGTGTGGAGGTCGGCGATGGTGGTTCCCAGATTGGCCGCCATGTGGTTCATGAATGCCTGTGCTCCTTCAATGAGTTGGAGGTAGAGTGCTGTCATCATCAGGTACTCTGGCACGTGGTGGCAGGCTGCTTCGGTGATGAAGGCTTGCCACCATGCCAAAGCGTCTGTTTTGTTGTAATCATCAAACTTCCCAATGTGAAGCGTGGCATCTTGTATGCTTTCGAGGCGGCTTCCGGTCGTGACTGCAGTTTGGTGATGTCCGTCTTGATGGCGGCCACCGTGCTGCTGATTGTGGCCAGACTGGTGAAGTCACCCAGGTCGCCGATGATGGTGACGACATGGTCGATGCGCAATCCGAGCTGCTTCGCTATGTCCGTTGTGCAGCCTGGCGCTGCTGAGGGCTTAGCCTCGATGCTGTTGACGCGTGTGATAGCTGTCTCTTATACACATCTAGATGTGTATAAGAGACAGTTGTTGTTTGTGTGTGTGTGTGTGTGTGTGTGTGTGTGTGTGTGTGTGTGTGTGTGTGTGTGTGTGTGAGAGAGAGTGTGAGAGAGAGAGAGAGAGAGAGAGAGAGAGAGAGAGAGAGAGATTACTGAGACTGGGTAACTATGTTGGGGTATGCCCAGACTGGGACACGGCACTGGACCGAGACTACTACTGTGGACTATCAAGAGAGAATATTATCGTTCAGGAGATACACTCAGTGGCAGTCACTTCTTCCTGCCCCGTTTCATCTCATTCCCCCACCTCCTTCGTCTGTGGGATCCACCTCCTTCATCTGTGGGATTATCTCACTATGAGTGTGGGCAAGGCAGCCGCTTCTTCTGCATGTGGTGCTACTTTGCCATCTCCCTGCATGATGATGTGTGTTTCATGTGCTGAGTGTGACAAGTCAGATCTGTGTATTATAAGTCTTTCGCTGCACCACATTGTTGTTTTTTCACACTTTGGGGATTCCTTGGTTCTGCGCCATGCCTCTCTCAGACAGGCATGCGACATCTCTCTCTTCCTTTTTTGGCAAATTTCTCATTCATGATGTTCCCGTGACGTTTCTGTGGTTGTATGTGAAGGTGGACAAGCATTTTAGGAATCTTCATGGATGAGCTAGTCTCTTTTCCTCCTGTTTCATTGCAGGTGAGCTATGTGCTGAATTTTGTCAGAGAGTTGGACCTGGAATGAGATTCACTCACCTATTTAATCGAGCTGCAGAATAAACAGACTCTGGTACTGACGTATATCCCTGCTCTGGAAGTGCCCATGCTCTATCCTGCAAAAACTCTAAAAGTTGGTGGCCGCGGGGTAAGTGGTAGGCGTCGCAATAGACTTCTCGTGTGCCGGTGGCCTTAGGATCAGTCAACCTTGCGGCTCTGTTAATGAGTTGGTTGCTTTTGACATTAAAGGAGAGGGGTTCGTCGCTGCGGATCGCGTTCGCTCCCTTGGATCCTTGCACAAAGTTTTACTTCGTAAGGCAGATATGATCGGTTTGCTTTGGTGCCTTGATGTTTCTTGGTGGACTTTTTGGATTGGTTTGATTTCCCGTTTTCGTGGAGATCTGACAACTGTTCTGACAGACTGAGAACTGTTTGCGACCTCTTTGGGCGCGTGGCACTTTTGTTTTATCGCCGCTCAGGTTTTAGTTTTTTTTTTTTTGCGGTGTCTTTTCAGTGCTTATTCGTCACATGGAGCGTCCAATTGGTTCAAGTTGGTATTATTGTGTTGCCTCTTTGGTTCTGCAAGATGATATCTAAGCTGATTCACATTGTCCCACACAAGTCTACATGTCGACATCACCGCACTCACCAAATGTGTAAAAAGGGGAGAAAGATCGTCCTAGAAGAATGTGGAAATGTACAGTCGCCATTGTTGTAGGAAATCATGCAGCGAAACGAAAAGTAAAAAAAGCCGAAATCACGCAGCGAACCAGCAGGTGCAGCTCAGTTGTCACACCCATGAATTCAAGTCTGGGCCTGACAGCCCATCGATGATGGACTTCGCCGCATCAGTCACCAAATGTGCAAGAGGAGAATGCATCTCCCTTTAGAATGTTGAAAGATAAACATTTATTTTGTCTTTCTAGAATTTGCCGAGGCGTGGGGCGTCGCCTGGTATCTCAAGGCCATCACCCATTTCCTGCAGCTAAATAAGCAAATAGGCTGCAGTGCACCACTTGACCAAATGTGAATTTTTCCACGTTCTGAAAGCAGATACATTCTTATTTGGAGCGTGGTGAGTGGTGCAGTGAGGCCCTATGTCAAGGCGGGGTGGGAAGGGAATGAATAACGTGCAGTCCTTCTGTACATTCCCATTGCTGCATTCACGGCTCATTTTTGTGTCTGCCTACAATCGCTCCGAGGTTTCTCTTTCTCGGCACTTAGGTTTCGATGTTCAAAGAACTCTTGGGATGGAGAGCAAGACTGAGTGACAGAGAAAATCACGTGGATGCAAGATGGAGACAGGCAGCCAGGGCACGGCGCATCTGCAGGTGACAGAGGAGGATAGGAGGGGGAGAGAGAGAGAGAGAGAGAGAGAGAGAGAGAGAGAGAGAGAGAGAGAGAGAGAGAGAGAGAGAGAGAGAGAGAGAGAGAGAGCCCAGTTGTTTCTTTCCAGCACTGGGATTTCCACTTTCGTGTTGTTAGTGTGCAAATACTTCTGCCATATGACACCCACTACAACCCGTCAGGTAAATTGTTTTGGAGATTGCTCACAATCAGTGCTGTGGTTTCCCTATGCACTTTCCGCTCTGTAAACAGGTCATATCCACTGTGCTTGATTTCCCTTACCCGTTCATTATTCTCATGCCCACCCTTGCACAATCGTAAGCGCTCGGATTGGTGTCTAATTTTGTCTCTCATATCCTATGATGTATGATCTCATGGTGTGTTGATGTGCGACATAGCTGACTGATTTGAAATTGGGCAATCTCTTTGCGGTAGGGACTGATGCAGGCTTCCACCTGGTAACTCGCAAAGACCTTAGCCCGTGAGCGATGCTTGTGAAATATGTGCTGATGACTTCAATGACTAGACTTTTGTACTTTTTGCTTCCGGACTATCTCTATCAGTTATCCCCCAGTCCCCTTGATTCCTTGATTCCCCGACCTTCGTGGGACTTTGCTGCTGACTGGACTGACCGAGATCAAAGGCCTACCGACTTTCGCCTAGTTTTCCTAAGTCCATCAGTACATAAAGGAATCTGCCTACATCGGCCTAGTACTACTAACCTACCTGGGACACGGGAATATGGTACATGTGACCAGCACTGGGACTGGAACTGGGGCGTGAAGGAGAGACACACGGAGAGACTGATAGGGAAACATGCTTTTCTTCGATTGGCGCACTTCAGGCAGCATGCCGCCCTCGAAAAGTCAAGGGCAAGTTGTCACAAGTGTTGTTCTACTGTCAAAGCTGACATTTTTGGGACACTGGTTACGGGAGGCATTTCACCAAATGGTCTTAGGGAAAATGTCCGTTAAGTAAAGGCATCCCAGCAAGTGTGGTGCTCTGTTTCTTCTTAACCTTGTGCCATCCTCAACTCTCTGCATTCCTTGTTCTTCTTCTGTTCCCTGTTGTCTTCCTCGTTTGCTCCTCATCCACTTTGACATGCACCTCCTCTCTGACTTGTCACTGCAAGTTTTCCTGTTTGGCAAAAGCTTCTGTCTCCTGTTCGTCATAATATTCCTCTTCTTCACCGTTCTTGTCCTCCTACTTCCTCCCACGTGCCATGGCATTAAATCTATGTTCAATTCCCTCCATGGTTGTGGATGCAGAGACCAGCAGGAGGAAGAAATGATGGTGTGGACAGCTCCAGAAGTCCTAGTCAATCATTGAATAATAGAGATGAAGGTGATCTTGAAATCGGTGAAGAAGAGGACGGTGGTGGCCACGCGATTGTTGAGGTTGTCTATCCCGAACTTGATGGAGCATTCCCTCATTTCCGTGCGGAGTTCTGCAAGTTTGCTGAGGTAAGTTCAAGCCTTATGGCCATGAAAAGGTGAAGTGTCACTGGCGGACTGTCATAAGTTCTCATGAGTGGCATTTTTTTTTTTTTTTTTAAACAGGTCCTATGACCCTGGCTCCATATCCATTCTGGGGAGCGGCAGTCCGGTTCCTATTCCCCCGGCAAGTCAAAAAAACAGTTTACATCAATGAACACACCCACACTCCCTTCCGTCTGCCCAAAGGGTCCCTGACCAGCATGGATTACTCCATTGAGATGGAGGATTGACTGTCAGCTTGCCTTTCTCTGAGTTTCCTCTCAGATCCTTCGATCAGAATCTGTCAGGTAGACGAAAAGCTAGAAACCCAAAGAATCCCTGTCTGAGCTGGGCTCAACGGAACTTATGTTGCCCTGAAGTCCTGATGCGCTTCCTGGTCGGGAGTTGTCCTCCTCTGGGGGATCGACGAATTGTGCCAGTCTTTTCATCTGATTTGTCGAGCCTGGATCTCAGCTATCTTCTCCTGGACAAGCCATACTTTGTTAAAGTTGGAGATCAACTCTTGCTGTTTCTCTGGATTTTGCTGAGCTTGGCGTCTGACCTTCTTCCATTGACATGGGATATCGGTGTCCATGAACGGTTTTGTATTCGCCCATACTTGTTCAGTTGGATTGGTAGTCTTGTCAATTGTCCTGTTGCACCTCTCCTTCCAGATGACCCACAGTGTTACCTTCCTGATAATTCTGAACCAGATGCGTTCCAATTTGAGGGAAAGAGATGGGGTATTAGTCCATAGGAGAAGTTGGATTGGGTGTTCGGGTAGGGGAGAGGGAGATAAGTGGTCCCAAAGCGCTGAGGCTCTTGCCCACAGGTCAGTAGCGAGTTTACTAGTGATCAGACAGTCTATTATATCTTTCTGTTCGTTGTCTGAGCATACCGGACATTTGTCTGAGCTGCACGGACCGCTGTTCTTCCTTCGCACATGTAGCCAGGCATTCACTGCGAGGGCATTGTAGGTGATTAGCCATTGGAAACTTCTTATTCTTACTGGCCGAAGTGATTTGTACTTCGACCAGGGGAGTTCCACAATTGGTTCCATACTCTGTCCGAGCAATTTGGTCGATCATTCTATGATTACTGGCTCGGGGTCTTTGGTTCTTAGAAACTTTTTGTATCCCATCTTAACTGTGTACTGTGTTATCTAAGTGGGATTCTTACAGAATCTATTAGCTTCTGGGAGCCACGCCCATTCTTGTGGGTTGAATTCAAGGTCTTGGATTGCTGTGTCCATGTGAAATATACTCTTCGGCCACGTTCCCAATACTCTCACCTTTCTCCGCGTGTAGGAGTTCAGAGTTACTTATTGTGGGTGGGTATTGTGAATGGCGAGGGATTTGCCGTTTGATCTATCTATGGGGAAGGAGATGAAGACTCTGGCGCGAGCTTGGCCGGGAGATCTGTGAAAGAACTGATACGCTTTCATGGGTACTATTTCCTGTGTCAGCACTCCCCATTCCCCTGCTTTCCATGAGAAGTCGTCTTTCAAGAGTTCTTTCCAGCTAACAGGGATGCTGTTGACCAGTGCTGACCGATTCTTGTCCCGGCGGTGGCATCCCTTTAGTAGCGCTTTTAACTGATTCTCATTTATCCAGTCTTTTTTCTCTTTGTCCCAGTTGTGACTTACCTTCCAAATCCCATGTCTAACCCAGGAGAGCCATCTCTGGCCTCCTGCTAGTGACAGTGGCTGGTCGCCTGCATCTTTAAGGTTCTGGTTCCCGAACAGAGGCTGCCGCAGCACCTCTTCTTTGGGTTTGGGTTTCTTAACCTGCTTAGGCATTATCTCCCTCCAAATCCTGATAAGTGCTGTTCAGTATGGGGGGGGAGGCTGTGCCTCATCTCACTCCGAGGTTGCTCGGTATCGTCTCCTTCCGGTTTTCAGCGTCCAATCCTTGTTCATTACCCAGAAGAGACCTGACATGTTATCTGGGGTCTGAACTGGGCCTAAGGATCTGCTACTATCCAGGGCTAATTTGTGCCACGCCAACCTGGGTTGGGTTAAAAGTTCAACTACCCATTTGATCTGCGGAGCTTTGGTTTCTTGTCTAGGATCGATTATCCCTAGTCCCCCTTTGACGGCCTTCTAGTTATGTAGTGCCAAGCTATCTTAGGAATGTACTTTGTTTTGTTAGGGTTCCCTGACCAGAGGTATGCCCTTGCTCTGTTGTTTAATTCCTTAATAGTTGTATCTAGCATGGTCCAGATGGAGGCTATATACCACATCATCGAGAATACGGACGTGTTGATTGTTAAGGCTCTTCCTAGCAGTGAGGTGGAAGTGTTGCCCCATCTTCCCATTCTATTGATTTAATTCGTTAGCCGATTCTGTGCCATTTGTGGGGATGTGCCCTCCTTGGTAACCATGATTCCCAGGTATCTCGTCGGTTCCCCGGGACTCAAACGTCATGTCTGGTTCTGGGCCTGCCATAGGAGGTATCTCCTCCTCTGACAATCACCACCCCACCGTTTTCTTCCAGTTTATCTTCATTTCTGAAGCTAATCTGAACACTTCCAGTGCCCTGACTATTGCTCTTACTGAGGAATCTGATGCCCTAATGAGAACGGTGAGATCATCTGCGAACATTATCACCGCCGGGAACTGGATATGGCGGGGTGAACCGGTGTTGAGCTCTGGAAGCCTCTGGATTGATGGGTCCTTGCGCAAGAAGAATGCTATGGCCTCCATTACGAAAAGGAAGATTGGCGGGGCTAGGGGATCGCCTTCCCTCACTGAATGGGAAATCTGATATCGGTCGGATAGCACCACATTGACTTGTACACATCGTGATGCATCAGTGTAAAGGACTCTGACCCACTTTCTGAAGTTGGGTCCCACTCCCATTTTCTCCATGCTCTCGTCGAGGAAGGTCCAATTCACTTGGTCATATGCATTTGTGGTTTTCTTGTATCTCCAGTCATGCAAAATTGTAAGATGTTCGCTTTTCATTTGCTGGATTTTTTTGTTCAGGAAGTATCTTAGCAAAGTAATTGTTTATATTGCCATGCTTGAATTGCTTGCCCCCGGGGCAACAAAATGTTTAATCAGTTACATGAAATATTCTGAAAGAATCTTTAATTCTTTTTTATTTTTATTTTTCAATTTGGACCATTTGTCATGCCATCTTTGCGCAGAGGCCATGGTAATCTTCTCTGTATCGTTACAATTTTAATGGATGTCCCAAAGGACGAAAGAATCTTATTTTGAAAATCAGAAAATGTGCTTTTCTATTTGGCAATGGATGGGGATTGGAGCTGCTCGTTTGGTCCGACATTGTTCGGATTCCATTTCTGGATCCCGCCCCCTCCCCTTCTAATTCCTGAAGGATTTTAGTGTTTGTAGATCTTGTATCAAAAAGAAAAACAACTTGAAAAAGAATTGGAAAAAGTATGAACATCGTTTCTTGTTTTTGAGTGTGGAAGGTTTTGAATGTTTGTAAAACTTTGTATCAAAGAGTACACAGAGCAGAATTCCAAGCCTAAAACTTAAAAGGTGCATGTGTACTTTCTCATGGCCGCAATCTGGTCATGACTTCCGTTTGTCCATAGCAATCACTTTGGTGGCCGCTTGTTTGTTGATGTATGTAGCAACCTATGTATGCATGCCACGGAGCTAGAGTACCGCTTGCTTTCCTGTCAGCTAGAGGGTTGACCTCACACTTTCCTATCCCAGTCCGTTCTTGTGAATGTGTAAGATGATACGAAGGGTCTAAGCCCACAGTCGTAACTTGATTTCTCTGAAGGGTCTGAATCATGGTAACCCCGGACCCGGACACCGGACACTTCCGGACTGTCTTCTGGACCAGTCCGGACTGTCCGGTGATCCAATCACCGGACACCGGACAATCTGGACTGGTCCCCGGGGTGCAAAAATGTCCAGACCCGGGGGGGGGGAGGTTGGGTGCGGGTGTTGGCAGGCACTTACCTGCTTTACACTCTGTAGTTCAGGCAGCAGACCATGTGTCTTGCAGCAAATCAACCAGCACATTTAACTAGCAGACATGCAGAG